ACCCAAGGATGAACCCTATTTAAAATCAGAAAGATCAAAAAATAATAAGTATGAGTCATTGCCCTTGTTATTGAAAATGCATTCAATATGTAGCTCGTAAACACACTCTAGAAAGCACAATTCTTGACAGATTTTGATGAAACTTGGTTATATTATTCAGCATCACCTCAAAAAGTTCAAAAGAAGTGTATGTCTGAAGGTTGAATATTTCATACTGGTAATTGTTACTGTACTACTAAATATTTGTATTTAAAATCAAAGCTGCCAGTGGGCGTATATTACCTTGCCTGGCAGCTTTCTAATGCAATAACCATCAGGCAAGAATCTCACCATACTAGACTTCATATTGCAACAAAATCCTGTAGATTTGTCTTCAGTTGGACAAACAAAATCACACAACTCTGGTAGCTTTCTGTATAAGCTTTGTTTCATGATTTTATAGCTGAATTCCATGAATTTTAATTCTCTTTTTTCAGAGAAACACCCAGTAAATTACCAGAAACCAAATCTGTTTTACTTTTCTGTTTTAATGGTAAGTACCTAAACTTTATGAAACCCAGAGTCAGGTGATGTCTTGTGTTTCTATACTAAGACAGTAGTACAACAGTGGACCACTCTTTGAAATATATAACCCATAGTTAGGTGATGTCTGGTGTTTCTAGACCCAGATAGTAGTACAACAGTGGACCACTCTTTGAAATATATAACCCAGAGTCAGTTGATGTCTGGTGTTTCTAGACCCAGATAGTAGTATAACAGTGGACCACTCTTTGAAATATATAACCCAGAGTTAGGTGATGTCTGGTGTTTCTAGACCCAGATAATAGTACAACAGTGGACCACTCTTTGAAATATATAACCCAGAGTTAGGTGATGTCTGGTGTTTCTATACTAAGACAGTAGTACAACAGTGGACCACTCTTTGAAATATATAACCCAGAGTCAGTTGATGTCTGGTGTTTCTAGACCCAGATAGTAGTACAACAGTGGACCACTCTTTGAAATATATAACCCAGAGTTAGGTGATGTCTGGTGTTTCTAGACCCAGATAATAGTACAACAGTGGACCACTGGTGTGATATCTGGTGTTCCTCTAAACAGTCTATAGTACTACAGTGGACCACTGGTGTGATATCTGGTGTTCCTCTAAACAGTCTGTAGTACTACAGTGGACCACTGGTGTGATATCTGGTGTTCCTCTAAACAGTCTATAGTACTACAGTGGACCACTGGTGTGATATCTGGTGTTCCTCTAAACAGTCTATAGTACTACAGTGGACCACTGGTGTTCCTCTAAACAGTCTATAGTATTACAGTGGACCACTGGTGTTCCTCTTAACAGTCAATAGTACTACAGTGGACCACTCAATGAAAACGGTAATGTTATTTTATATCTTACAGTACCAACCAAGGGTAAAACGAAACCATACGACATGGAGTTTATTAAACCATTGATGCATCTAGTATTTTACAGTATTGATAAAGTCTCACGATTAACTCTTGGAAAGGAGGTAAGAAACTAAACTCTAGTGTGGACTTGTTTCTAGTCTTTCTGAATGGACAATAAAGTTAGGTCTAGTAGTTCTGTTAGCTGAATGTGGGACAAACTGCTTGACATGGTAGCCTAATGCTGTTATCTTTATAAAAAATTTTACTCATTGCATTAGTCTGATCAGGAGCATTTAAAGATGGGTTTCCTTATTTTTTTAGTGTCAAATTAAGCAAACTATTTGATTAATTGGTGTTTCTAATGAATTATCATGAATTCTTAATCATATCATTATGTTCTTATTGCATATAATTAAGAGTTTTGGATTGTTTGTACTTTGGGCATTTTATTTTGTTTCATTTTTTTTTTTGCAGGCTAGAGGAAAAGCTGACAAGAATCGCCAGAAGGCTGAAGAAGTTTTTCTGAAGTCCATTCATTCTCAACGTCAAGAGGCAGCTCAGTCTCGACGGGAAGAAAAACGCAGAGCTGAAAAAGACAGACTAATGAACGAGGAGGATCCTGAAAAAGCTCGAAAACTTGAAGTAAGTCAGGTGACATTTTTATACGCCCACATGAAATGGGGGGCGTTTATTGCCCTCACCCATATCCGTCGGTCCGGCCGTCCGTCTGTCCATTGGTCCGTCCACAATTGCTCGTAAACACTCTACTAGACGCAATTCTTGAAGGTTATTGACAAAACTTGGTATGAGTGTTCGTAATCACCCAAGGATGAACCCTATCGAAAATCAGAAGAATCGAAAAATATTTAGTATGAGTTATTGCCCTTGTTCTTTAAAATGCGTTCAATTTATAGCTCGTGAACACGCGAGAAGGCGCAATTCTCAATGGATTTTGACGAAACTTGGTGTGAGTGTTCGTAATCAGCCAAGGATGAACCGTATCGAAAATCAGAAGAATCGAAAAATATTTAGAATGAGCTATTGCCCTTGTTCTTTAAAATGCATTCAATTTTTAGCTCGTAATCACTCTAGAAGGTGCAATTCTCAATGGATTTTGATGAAACTTGGTGTGAGTGTTCGTAATCACCCAAGGATGAACCCTATTGAAAATCAGAAGAATCGAAAAATGTTTAGTATGAGTTATTGCCCTTGTTCTTTAAAATGCGTTCAATTTTTAGCCTGTAAACACTCTAGAAGGTGCAATTCTCAATGGATTTTGACGAAACTTGGTGTGAGTGTTCGTAATCAGCCAAGGATGAACCCTATTGAAAATCAGAAGAATCGAAAATATTTAGTATGAGTTATTGCCCTTGTTCTTTAAAATGCGTTCAATTTTTAGCTCGTAATCACTC